CAATGTTGTTTGACATTTGGGGCTTCTACATTTAGTTCTCAGCTGATACTTAGCTGAGCACATTAATATCTTATGCACTGACCACAGTTTCATCCTTGCATCCCCAGTGTACAAGTGATTGGTCCCTATTTACTCTATGTAAATGTACGTCTAAATTTTATTTCATCAGTACACTTGCATAGTGATCATTGATGTCCTTCATTGCCCTCAAGGATTTCACTTTGCTACTGAGTTTGTGCCAAGTACACGTACCGTAGCTGCATGAATCACTCAAATTTTCACAAATAATCATAAAAGATGAGAATTCTGAAGGATTTCATCTCAAGAAAACAAGACTTCGATCGCTTCTTCCTTACTGTGGTTTCCTTGCAGACATTCCCTGTAGGCGTTTATTACTGCTCGTTTATGCATACTGTATGTACCGGTACATGTGTACTAAAATGACGCGTTTTGTATTGTCTGTCCACCCTGATCGAGAACAAGGGAGGATGTGTTTTTTACATACCAGTACATGTAGCAATGACAGTACTGTGGTGGGAACTCACCATATGTGCACAAAGGTTCATGCTTGTTTTCTTGGGACCATGACATGTTGAACATGTGTGACTAATTTCTGTCATATGGTCTTCGCTGTAAGACCTGTGTAAATATATTTAGCAATACATGTGCGTACATGTATGCATTATAAAATTGATGTCATAATTTCAGATGGGTATGAATCATGTACACGATCATGGACAAGTATTGTATGTGGTCATTTACTTAAGGCATTGCAGCATCATTTTTTCTTACAAATTGTTTTTTTTCTTATATATATAGACAAATCTGCCATTTCACATGTACGTTACACACTAATTATGAACTTGGTGCACAGTCTTTTAACCATTTACATTTCATTGCAGTGCCAGTCACTCAGTAGGTTCAGCCTGTTAGCATGTTCCGAAGATGTACATGTATATGTGATCAGCAACACCAACATCACAATTGTCCAGGTGAAACAGTTGGTTTGAAATGATTCTATTTCCCTCTCCATTTGTCTCTCAAATGAATTTAAAGTTTAGGCAGGTTTTTGTTATGATCATTTCCAGAGCTGAAGTACATGGACCGTACATGTACAAAAGTCCCATACTCCTTAGACGGCAGACAGGAGAAAGTGCACTTGGCCTCGTGACATGATATATGCTCCTTGGAGCAGCACAAACAACCATCACTCATCAGTCTGTATTTACATGTACACAATATACCATGATCACTGATTTTGGAATTCTGAAAAGAGTTTGATGAAGCAGCCTTTTGTTTTTTAGTCAGTTCTGGAGCTCTGTCTGTATCAAGTCACAAACGGAGGACAGTTTGAGGTTGAAAGTCAAGAGAAAGAGAAAAGGGGTCATTGAAGATGCTGTACTTTTTATTTTGACTTGAAGTGCGTGGCTGAAAATAGTTTATAAAAATGAGCTTCAGATAAGGGAAGAGTTACAGGCATTTACTTTATAGTACAGGTACTTATTCAGTTGAGGTCATCCAACGTAAGAACTGGCTTCTGTTCAAACAGCAGTCTGAGTCTGCTACTTTTTTAAAGATTGCTCTAGGACTGACATTTAAACCCTGGTTCATGCAATGTACCAGTAATTAGGGACATCTTATTGTTCAGTTGACCTCTGCAAGCTTGACTACATGTGCGTGCACAATAGTTATGATGTCTGTACTAAACAGGCAGTTTTCTTCTTTACTTTGGTTTTCCTTGAAAGGTACTGGATAAAGTCACATTGTACCAGTATATTTGCATATTAGTAAAGGACTAAAGCCAAAATTCAGATACATATGCCCAGTATACATGTATACCGGTACATGTACCGGTACCAGTGAGGTAATGTACCATGTACGCGGTTGAATGCATGGCTGGCATAAAGGATTTCGTTTAATGGACTTTTGTAATGTTCTTCATACATACATGTACTTTTCTTTCAATCCATCATCCTTGATATTTTCAGTTCTGCAGGGTGTTGAACCATGCTTAAGTGTCTCTGAGGTATTCAGGAAGTGAAAAGGGTTGACCAGAAAGCCTCCAACTAATGGTCTTGTATTTCTTGTTCCTCAAAGATTAACTCCCTGGGGCCACGTTGTGCATGTACATGTAGTAGCAACTTTAATATATACCATGACTCAACAATGCTATGAATGATTGCTGTATGATTCATGGACCATTTTAAATCTAGGGAAATTTTTTTCTTACTGCACAATGTTTTGAACCCTGGCAAACCATTACATCCCACTACATCTAATTAAAGAATTCAAAGTCAACCAAACACATATTTGTCATGTACATGTACGTGTAGGCCTTTTCCTTTCTGGTTGCATTGGAGCATACATGTACTGTATGTACATGTATGTACATGTAAGTTCCATGCGCATTCATGGGTATTTAAGCAACTATTCTTTTTAAACTTTGTGAGGGGAATATTCACTAGGATTTTAAATAATATACCAGTACATTCATGTAATCTGTATTAGGGTCTAACCTCCCTCTTGCTTGATTTAGTATTATTATGTCTGATATTGTGAATTTTTTAATTGGAGATTTCAGAACTAACCCCATTTTTATATTATGCTGGTAGATATACAGTACATGTAATTCCATAAAGATATTTTGAAAATGTTGCTTCCTTTATTTACGTTTTCCAGAAATGATAAAAAAAAATCATTGTTTAATCCAAACAAGTAAATTTTTTGTGTACACATACTGTATTTGGTGGTGAGTTTTGCAGTGGTGTACTTGTACAATGTAGTTTCTGAAAAGACAAAGAACGCAGACTTAGAATAGTGTTTGAATTTCTTTGAAATGCTACATGTAACTTGTAAGGGAACAATCATGGCTTGCACCTGTTGTTTCAAGAAGACAATTAAAACCTGGCATTCATGCATGACTAAATACATTGTCCAATGTACATGTACAAGTACAAGTACATGTACATGTATGTACGGTACGGTACATGTACCTGTATTCTTGTTTCATAATGAAATTGCTATGGGGATATAAGATCTTGTTCCTTTGTATTACAGGCTACTGGTCTTACATTGTACCCTCAGCATACTGGTTCACAGACTTTTATGAGGTCTTCTTTATTGCCTTGATCCTGTCCTTTATTTGTCTGTCATAAGATATTATAAGAACATAAATTCATTATAGATTGCTCACATGGCTTTTACTGTTCTTGTAGGGGTGTAATGTACATGCACATTGTACAGAATCTGTGCATACTGCTGTAGTCATCGTATCATTGCCCTAGGGAATCCATGGCTTTCATGAGTTGAATTGGCCTACACACCCAGGGTTTGGCTCACAGGAAGTCAGGGGATGCACTTTTCATGCAAAATTGATTGAGTATGTTGCTGTAGGTTTTCCCCCATGATGTCTTCAGATGGAATTTCTGAGCTATTGATCACATGGAATTTAAGGGGATACTGCAGTCACAATGCCAACACTCTCAGTCTGTTTACAGGTGAAGAAATTTGAAATTCAGCACTGCAGTGATGAATTTTGCACATTTAAGAAATGTGTATTCTTAAGTATACACTGTACTTCAAAGGTCTTAGAGATGGCACTGAGCATGTTTTGAAGGTGCTCAGAAATTTTGTATCCACAGTATTCTTGTTCTGATAGGGCTCTTATTGTCTGCGGTGTGTGTATTTGTGAGGGTCAAATGTGGACGTGTTCAACTTTTGCAATTTGTACTTCAAAGGAGCTTTCATCGAGGAATGAATGCTGACTGAATATTCACAAATCCTTTAATTTTTTTGATATGACAGTTGTCCAAGAATGTTACCATTGGAATACACAGGAAAGCATTGAAATGCCTACGTGTACATGTAGGTGTTGACCAGTAATGTCTTCATTTTCACATCTGAAGCCAGCTCATAAGAACAGTCAGTAGCCTGTGTAAGGGAAAACATGTCCTTACGTGGCAACGACGGTCCTTTATTTGGAACTCCATACATGTGCACAGGTTTGATGTATGCTGAGCACATGGGACCAATTTCTGTTTGAATGTATGGTCAATTCATGTGCAACAGGCACACGCATGATCCCACTGAAAATCTCCCACCAAGCTACCTGGATCTCTTCTTTGCTGGTGAAGGTGCATTTACTTGGAGAAAAAAATATGATTAATATACAGTACATGTACATGTACCGGTACACTGTACACGTAGAGATTGAACGCCAGGAAAAATCATGCATAAATGAATTTACATGCTTTAAGATATTAATTTGAGTTTTGAGATTCTGAAGAACTACATGTAATTTTGGACAACCTGACAGAAATCCGTAAACTATAGTTCACTTCTCAGAAAAAATTTGATTCGTCATGCCCTTTTAGTATGGTTTAATAACTAGTCATGTTTCACTTGTTTTTAGTCCTTTTAAACAGTCTTTTTAAGCTAATGGTACATGTACTCGTAACCAGTCCCATGGAGCTACACATTTTAGCACTCAGATATATACAGCTCCCATTACTCTTCCACACACTGTTCATTGCTGGTATGTTGCCTGTAACAGATCCATACGTCATCAGCTAGCATTTTCTAAGTATCCCCAGCTGACAGGGACGGAAGCTCCTCAATATAGGTTGATTTGTGTACCGAGCCAGCAGCAATAGGTCTACTTCTTGACGTCATCACACAATCATTTTTGCTCCTGGGGCCACATCTCAAGTTTGATGTTGCATTCCTTTCATCCTACCATGGAGGAATGATCTCAAAACACAGAGCAATCCTAAAAGAGAATTTTTCATACTCTGTTAGAGATGGACCATCTGTTACTAATTTTTATCTGTCTGTGATGCCTCTCTGTGTGTGTCCCTGTGTGGTACCCTGTGTGTAGCTCATTTATCCCTCTACATGTACATGTACATGTAGGTCTGTTCTGGTTGTTTTGAAGGAAAAGACGGATCATACCAGTATTCATTTTTCTGCATTTTCCATAAGGTTTTTATGATTATTTTTGAAGGACCAATGGGAAGTTGATCATTATTTTTAACTTCATTTGTATCTATTTCTACATCTTGCCTCTTTTCCTTCCTTGGATAGTTTCCTAAGGTTGCCTTGTGTATGAAGCCCATCATGGAAGTTGCCTGATTAACCTTTAAAAATGAACTCATAGGAATGCCAGCTTTCCCTCATCAGGAACTTTATAAGTCTGTACCAACATGCCTTATGTATACATAGTTGGTATAGGGAGTCCGAGGGCATCATTTGAGCCTCTGACATGGTATTAGCAATTTCAGTTCAGTTACAGCACTTTTTTTGGAAAACTCTTGAATTAAGCTTTGGCGTGAATATGAATTTGTACTTGTACTATACATGGTTTTTGAACAAATTGCTGACTGTACGTATGATTTTCCCATATTTTTCAGGACATCTCCAAGCGGTTGTCATTGCCAGCAGACATGAGGCTGTCAGACCAGTTTCTGGAGAAGTACAGTCTCAGTCCACCCTTTGAGAAGATGAGTAGACGGTCAAGACGAACGTCCTTGGTATGTTTGTTGGTTTGTGTGTCTGTTTCTTTGTTCTATTATTGAACAGGAAAATCATATTTCTGTACTTTGATGATCAAAGTGGGATCTGCATTAATTAGTATACTTCAGGTTTTGTGTTCGCATTTTTTGTTGTTGTTAGGGGAACAAGTATGTGCTTGGTCAGTCGTTTGAGACCAGATCAGGACGCTAGCGATGCCCGAGCCAAAGAAGAGGGACAATTGTCAGCATACCTTTATAGCAGGGCTCGCAGAACAACCAAAATATATTGTTGGACAACCAAATGTTCTGGGCTGCCAGCCCGACGGGGGTACTTTTCGGCAACACATTTTTGCTTTGCATTTTAATCCCGGCATTTTAGACATTTCAGCACTGTGTACAAAAAAAGTTATAAAAAAGACCGCAAAAAAAGATTGACATCCTAACCTTGACGTTGCACAACTTTACTTGTTGGGGTAGGTACACCGCGGTACGTCTGGTTGAATTTTGCACCGTGATACATCCGGTTAAATCATTGGCATGAACATCGCAGCGACCACAGCTTCATCTGTATTCAGTCGTTTTCCTTGTTCCGGATTGCGAAAAGTATTTTCAGTCATATTACTGCTCAATTATCTTCAAATTCCAATGAAATGGGCTCAGCAGTCTACTTTGTACATGTATGCAGGAGTTACTTCAAAAATGTTGTCAAATTTTAAGCTTTTAGTTCTGGATCACTTCGAAAATTTCTTCACACATAAGAATTATAGTCAAACGTAAACCCATTTCTCAGCCAAAAAAATTGTAACAAGCATATTTTCTAATAAAGCATGTCATAAAGTAAAGCATGTGAGTAGTCATAAAGAATCTCCTTATATGGAGATTGGCACGCGCATGCGAATACTGTGTGAGATGGCAAACAGCTACCGGTACCCAATATTTATTCAGCTGTTTAAGACTGGCCAGGTGACGTTCTCTTGACCAGTAGAAATGGTTAAACTATTAAGAATTACTGATGGATTGGACTTGCGCCTTTTTGAATTTGACAGAATGCTATGATAAATTTGCAAGATTCAAAAACAGTGTTTGTATTCTGTCAAAATCAGCAGCAATGTCAGAATTACTTTACATTGGGCTTGAGATACTGGTACCTGTTATCTAAACATAAAGTTACTGCAGTGTATGATTTTGGTGGATTTAAGAAGGTTTGCAGAAAAAATTGCTTTGGGCAGTGGTGTTAAGTAAACTGTTGACAATGGCTGCACGTGTTATCCTTCTAAAAAACGAAGGAAATTGTTCATCCACACCATATAATGCACTTTAGACGTTCTCCCTGTACCATATTATATGTCACTCATGGGATGTGTTCCCCATCTCCTTTCACTCCTTAACAAGTCTTGTTTTCATGTAGTCTCGTTCACTTACAGTGTATATGTGTGGGCTAGCTTTTCCTTTGAGAGGGAACTGTTGAGAGGAATGTCTCCTGTTAGAAATAAGAGCCGACTGACATTTGGGAGGGCTGTGCAGTTCAGGTTCTTTAAGCTGCTTGTGTGTTTGCTGAGGAAGGAAAAACAGCAGCATTACTTGGAGATTGAGGCTTGTTTTTAATCGAGATGATCAGGACATACAGTCGTATAATTCAGAGGATGGATGTGCTGATATCTTTAAATGAACCATGTTTTTACAGTGCTTTTTTCAGGGGTAAGATTTGTCAGGATTTTTCATGAATTCATGATTTTTCGTCAGGCTTTTCCAAACAATCTTTTAACATCTTGAAAGTCCTGAGTTTACCATTAAGATGTTTTTACGTATAAAAAGTGATGTACAACACAAGAAATTGGTAATTTAAGAGGTGTCTTGAGGCAAACACAAATATGCACCATAGACCCTACACGCTGCTGAGGGGGCCCTCAAAAACCTCTGGTGATCATTTTGTTGATATTTCATTTTCTTCCAATGTCACCCCTGCTTTTTGTGTTTAGTTTGGTTTTGTTTTTGAAGTCCAACAACATGAATGATCAAACATCCATGCCGTATTTGGCATTCTTGACCAAAATACATATCATGTACACATAGCTTACCAGCATTCTTGCTGTGTAAATGTTTTATTATCAACTCTCACTTCCTGTTTTGTGCAATGGAACGAAAACATTGGATAGGTAAAAATAATGTTAAAAATGTAGTGTACATGTACACCGTACATGTATATGAGAAACATGCTTAAGCAAGTTTGCTTGCTGGCTTTCAGTAAGAGATTGTTTTCGCAGATGTCTAACATACTGCCATGTATGTACACTGTATATACTTTTACACGTACATGTATGTACTCTTTTAATCTCTAGTGCCTTTAGTATGGTACACTGTTGACCTAAGTGCTGCAAGGTGTGTAGGTATCTTTACTTTCTATTTCAAGTACCAGTACCTCACATAATAAAGTCCAATTATTTTCATCATAACATAGGGTTAAGCAATCAGAAATTTTTAGTGATATGTAGTCTGTCATCAAACAGTTGCTCTCTGTTTATCCTTGGATAGTTTGATACCAGAGATGAATTTGACCAGTTTACCAAGCAAATACGTGTGTAACTTTTTCATATTTTTCCATAACAGATATCTGGTACATCTTGTCCACTGTAAAATCACTGGTGTTTTTTTATTATTATTTTTACTCCCAGTCTGAAATAGGTTTTGGCAAGATGGAGACCTACACCAAACTGGACAAACTTGGGGAAGGCACATATGCAACAGTATTCAAAGGGCGTAGTCGATTGACAGACAACCTGGTAGCATTGAAAGAAATCAGACTAGAACATGAAGAGGGAGCCCCATGCACTGCAATACGAGAAGGTAGGCAGCAGAGCTGAAAAGGTTGGAGAAATAATCTTGTTTTCTTTATGTGTGTGATTGTGAGCTTTGTTGTCTTGTGTTGGTTCGGTATGTTTGTTTGAGATCATTCTAGGAAAAGCATGGAATGTGTTGAAGGGATTTGAGCATACATACTAGATATGCCACTTACAAGTACAATTTTGCAACCACTTGTGCACTTACAATGTACATGTACGTGTAGCTCATCCAAGCAGTTGTCTTCCCATAAAGTAACAATTAAACCTACTAAATAAGAATCAGGCTTTGGCAGAAGTTTTGTTTTTGTTTAGGGGTTTTTACATGTAGCTGAGAGTCTTGGAGTCTTGTGTTGTCTAACTCGGACATTCTGTAGTCTTGTAAAATGTAGCTTGGGACCAGAAATGCCTGTTTGTCAAGAAACCCACCCCCTTCGTCCACTGAAATTCCTTCACAAGTAGATTTTTTGATTATTTGGTTTGGAGGGTAGAGTGGTGGAAAATTTGATCTATCTTTTAAACATGAAAGTGAAATTCAATACCCAAGTTAGCACTTCTTTGTCTGAGGTTGAGAGGAGATGGATATGAGTGCAAGCAGGGGGCCATAGAGTTAAACCTGTTTAGAGTAAAATTCCTCTTTTAGAGACCTCTTAAGAGAAGGATTTGAGACTATCAGTTTTGAGATTATCTGACTTACTTCCCTGTGGATTGGAGAATTGTTAAAGAAAAAGGCAGGAGTTAGTGTTTAGGGAGAATGGGGCTATTTGGGGAAAAAAGGAGGAGGGTATATAGTTGGAGACTTCCTGAAATCACTTGGCATTTAACGGTGATAATCTCCAGTAAATGACAGTAAAGAATACATGTATGTGCACTGTACAATAACACATTAGTGACATTAGGGGTACATGTAGTTCTTGAAATTCTGAACTTTCTTTGTTTGTTTGTCTGTTTGTTTTAAGATTTAGATGGAAATTATCAAATTAACTTGATCTCTGTCAGAAAAACATGTATGACATTATTGATGAGCATTGCACACATAATTAAGGGAGCATCACTACTGTACAAGTGCTTTAGATCGGTCCAGTTTTCTGTCTGTTTTTCTGTCTTTACTCCAAACTATGAGAATTCGATCGACAGCTGCTTCTCAGAGGCTGTTCCATCAGAGAGTGAGAGTAATAGGCTTACAGCAGTAAATGTACATTAGCAGCAGGCTCTTTCTGGAACAGTTTTTGCATACATAATTTCATGCAGCTGGCAGGGATCAAGATTCTGATCAACGATATTAGCGGTAAATGTAGAGGCCATAATCAGATTGGACTTGTGTTTATTCCTGAACCAGTACTGTCGTTTCAAATTAATTTTACCACCATACGTATGTGTGCATTCGTCATTCCTCAAACTCTGCAACAAAGTCTGTGTGGGTGTTGTATTTGAACATAGTTGCACCTTCAACAATTTCATAAAATTAAATATTTATGTTAAAACTTCATTGACAAATCAATAACATTTGTGACGGAAATGGAATTCCTGTTGAGATTCTCACAGTTTGTCTTGGGTCAGTTTAATTTTTTGAAAAATTGGGGTCTAGTAAATAATAAGTCAAAAAGCATGAAGTGAAGTGATACTAATGAAGTACAGTGAAGACTGGCATTCCTGGGTTACATAGTTTGATCACAAAACCAGAATTTTCTTTCTACTCTCAAATCGTTTCAGGTATATTTCCACAGGTTTAGATGTACACACAAAATAAAATAAACCATATAAAGGGATTTCATTTCACTCCAATAGCCAGACTGCAGCATACACACACTTCGCTGGGATTTGCTCAGTCCAGTAAACGGTTCAGAGGAAATAGTCATTTCATCTTTGTGGTGTTGTGGTGATTCATTGATCTCAGCTCCAAAACCTACTTAGATTTCCGTTCCACTCTGAAACAAATAGGAAAAGGAGACCAAGATGTTGGAACAGATTTTATCTCCAGTGGGATAGAAAACAAATGTCTGCCACAACATGCGTAAAGGAGGGATAAACCAACGAGACAGCCAACATTAAATACAATACTCTCTCTGCTACCGGTACAATAAAATGTTTTTTATAATATACATGTATGCTTCTGTTGAGTAGAAAAACAAAGGTTCTCTTTAAAAAAACCTGAGAAAACCAGATTACTATCTTTGAAAGACACTGTCACCTGTTCAGGAAATTTCTGCATTGAGACTGGCATTTAAAGACAGGGATAAATCCACTTTGTAAAACTCAGCTTTTCAATGATTGATATGTGGTATACAAATGCATGATAAACAGAGCTAAACATGGAAAACAGAAGAACCGGAATATGCTCAAAATAAACCTTTTTTTCCTATACTTTACATGTACCAGGTACCTCTCTGCATTGTGCTCTTCTTTACAGGTGTCTTTGTTTCCCACTAGACCCATTTTGTAGCTGTTATGGGCCCAATTACAAAAGCAAATAGCAAATAAATGGACTTCCTCACTTCATTTCACAAAGTTTTGCATTATGTACATGTACATTGTACATATGTAATATGTACAATGTACATGTACATATGTTGTGATATTTGTTTTATTTATACAGTAAATGACAAAATATAATTATTGGATGTTGGATAGGGTTACCTAAGGAAGGAGGGAAAAATCAAACTCAGTCCCTTAGAAAATGGTAAGGAAATGATTCTGTCTACATTTTTATTAACTTGCCATCAGATAATATTCAAATTCCCACCCCTGAGTGGATGTAGACTTACTCCTACTGAACTCAGGTGAGCCGAGTTCTCACAATGATTTGAATTGTGGATGTAGACTTACTCCTACTGAACTCAGGTGAGCTGAGTTCTCACAATGATTTGAATTGTGGATGTAGACTTACTCCTACTGAACTCAGGTGAGCTGAGTTCTCACAATGATTTGAGTTGTGACCCTGTGGAATTGGCATTCTATCCTAGGAATTATGGGAAGGGAAAGGGTGAGACACAAGCAATGACCACTGCACACTTGCTTGTTTCACAAACCTAATGTGGACTAAAGCTGTTTTTCAGAGAGGGGAAAACACTGTGGATGTGGGCAGGACCACACAATGTCCTGTAAACCTACATTGTGGGAACTTCATTGTGCATAAAAGTCCACACTATGTACATGTACATGTATGCCATGCTCATACACTCATGCATACCTGTTTACATACAAAGTGTAGACATTCCTTTGTTCTCCTGTGGTTAAAAACTTGGGGAAAATGCTCCTTTTTCTCTCACTAGGATAACTCCTTCGAGCTGGATATTTGATGATTTCCTGGACTGTTCCTCTTCATTTTGCCACAGATAACCCTGACCCCAAAATGCCACTGAAGCTGTTTTTCAGAGAGGGGAAAACATTGTGTGGACGTGTGCAAGTCCACACTACGCCATCGCACCCTTCATTATGTGTACTTCTTTTGTGCAGAGGTCCACACTATGTATGCTACGCCTGCACACAAAGTTTCACAGAAGTGTTTTCTATTCTCTTTGTTTCCTCAGTCTCTCTGCTGAAGGGTCTCAAGCATGCAAATATCGTCACCCTGCACGACATTGTACATACAGAAAAATCCCTCACACTAGTCTTTGAATATTTGGTGAGTAGTCTTAACGTTCATTCAATACTTAAACACTTTCATTCGTATTAAGTATACGTATACATGTAGTGACTGTTTAATCATGACTTTTTAATGATATAAGAAATGTTCTTTAAATCTTAGCCTGATGGAGAAGGTTATTGTATCCACTGTTTTCTGGTTTGCTCAAATTTGAGTGCTACATGTATGTACATGTACGGTTTGGGGATCACTTTCACAAACCTGCAAAACACACACAGTATTGTTGGTATACATCCAAGTATTATGATCTTTGTCACCAATTAAACAAAATTGACTCAGTGACAGCTGAAACTAAGAGATGAGATGTGACCAGCAGCCTCAGAAAGACAGTGAGTATGAGTGTTGAGTTGTGACAAGCTATTGTACAGGAAATCCTGAATATTTTCTGCATTTCACATGCATTCATGTACCTTACTGTCATGACTTAATTTTTCATAACTATTTTGGTCTGAACAAAGTATAATTGCATTAATAACTGGAAGAAAAGAATCATGCCATATCTTGAAATACATGTACGTAGTATGCAGTACACTGTTGTCATTCTATCTTAAAACCTGTCTCAAATCCTTGCTTTTCACTGTCAATACGGCACAGCTGGAAGTGTTTAACGTCATTGGATACATATCACCAGATGCGAAAGTAAACAAAATGATATTGATTTAGCTAGGATTGCATTTTTGTCTTAATGAGATTTGAAGGGCCTCAGAGGCGTAAGCAGTCCATAGAAATTCCCCCTCCTGGATTGATCGCTTAATGGGCCTAAAGTCCAGAGTGCAAACCACCAAGTATCATCATGGTTTCTATAGAAACCCAGTACACGAGAAACAGTCAGAAAAGGCTTCTCCAAATTTCACAAATGTGAGGGTTTCTGAGGATGTCCTCTCTAAATGAGTTTTCTAAAGATTTTCAATCATTATGAATAACCTTGCGATGGAGGCTGAAACAGTATGAATGCACAGTGCTTCACTAATTGCTTTCTTATCCATAAAACTGCCATTCAGAAACCACCAGGTATGTCTATGCAATGAATACTTCATTCTTCAAATGTCATTTGTCATAGCAATGGTTTCCATGTACTCAATGAAGTCACACATTCAGAGAAGAAATGTACAGAAGGTGTAGAGAGGCTGTGCTTGAAGTACAGTAGCCGCTCAGAAAAAGCCACCTGTCCTTGAGGGAATGTGTTCTACAGCTCAAAAGCACAGAGGTTGCAAACACTAAAAAAACAGTCATAAATGTTTTTAAGGTTGGGGTTTTCAATAAAATCTCATTTGCTGTCACTGTTAAAATTTACATTGCATTTATGAACAATTTTAGCTATTATGTTATGTAACAGTTTAAGGATACATTGACTTTTTCCTAAAATAAACAATTTCTGATATTATTTTACCGGTAATTGCAAAGTTTTGCTTGCATATTTAACTTTGGACAACAAATTGATTCAGCCAGTAGTCACAAACTAAACTTGTCTATCCAAACCAAACATGTCTGTCCCTGCAATGTTTGTGGG